TTCAGGAGCTGCCAATGGTTATTTTTCTCCAAAGCAGTATTTGTGCATGGGGAGAAGAGATCCTTGCTTACAGCCAGTCCTCCTCAAAATGCACAGACTTGGTRCATTACTTACACAGGGGAGGGGAAGGTAGACATGGCAGGGTAATGACCCTCTCTCTGGAAATGCTTTGTGGTCTATGGACGTTTCTACCAATCTTAACAAATAGAACTGAGGGGGCATAAGCACTGGAGGTGAATTCTTGTGGTGAGTGAATGATTGCTGGCAGCTCCCTGTGGACAGGTGATCTGTTTTGTGGGAGACTGTAGTCGGTCTCTGTAGCCAGCCGTGCCATAGCCTTCCTAAKCCAGTTATATCTGGGTTATGGATCTGTAAAGGACTGCGGGGCAATGCAATTGCCTAGGAGTCTGACAGGAGCAGACACACAAACACAAGGCACACAGTGCTCAAATTAAGGCTTTTATTATCTCCACTTCTGCATGGAGGCTCCCAAGTTTCCTGGCGAGAGGAAGAGAAGAGGAGATTCCAGGCTCCGCTGAGCACCGGTCCATAGCAAGGAGCAGAGGGTGAAGGGGAATTTATGCTCTTATACAACTACAAAGCGCGTGATCATCTCATGTTACAGTTCAATTGGTGTTAATAGCAGGAAAACAGCACATAAGCATCATGTGGTACAATGCACGATAATGAACACAGTTTGTGTGCATAGTGTACACGACATGGCCAGAGGCCGAGCATGGGGTATAGCACAGCTAGGTCAGTGTGCCTCAGAACAGTCTAGCCCATCTCCTCAATATTTTTCTGCATCTAATCTCTACAACATCCCTTTGCAAACCTGTGCCAGGATGCAGCTATCCAAGGGATTTTCCTTGAGCCCTTAATATTCCTCTTTACTGCTCAGGGGGCATCATAATTATTCATCCCCGCTATACTGAGTTACTTTTCCTTACCCTACTCATTAGCCCATTAAAATCTTTTTATTTTTTCTTTTTCTCCCCTGCCAATAGGCCTTTCTGTGCAAGGACGCTCAGCCAGTCTTTGGCACCTTGGGTAGCTGATTGAAATCCGAGGGATGGAGCCACAGTCGCTGTGATGTGCGCTGCTCTGGTGACGTGTGTGCTGCTAGGTGACTGCTAGCTAGCGAACGCCTCATCTGCTGTCCTTTAGAGATGTGTTCAAATATTCCCTTGGTTTACATAACTTCAAAGCAATTTGCTTTCATAGCAGCACATGCTCATTCATTCTGTTTTCACTGTGCATTGGTCTATAAATACTGCCTCCTTGCAGATAAGAATCTATTGAATTTTTTTCACCCTTGGAAGAATTCCTCCTGACCCAAACTCCGGAAGGAGACATTCTCAGCTTCAGTAGTGAAGCTGCCAAAGTCACTTTCTTCTGCCAGGCAGCAGTAAATGATATTAAACCTGGCTTGGCCACTGCTTCCCCACAATCACCTTTTCATTGTTACTGTTGGGTTGAGGCAAAATGAGTGGCCAGAAACACACAGCTGAGATCACTGAAGTGTCAGGAAAACTGATTAAACCAATGATTTCCACTTCCTCTGACCAGCTGCATGATAGTATCTCCTGCTCACCTTCCAAGCCACCTGTCCTGCAGGATATTTACTCCAAAGAGTAAAACCCTGGGCTGTTGTCCAACCAAGCTTTCTACTATTTATTCCTTACTTTTTCTGCTGCTCATTCTAGCACTTTCCTGCATTTTAGCTGAGCAGCTCTTGGCCTATGTCACAGATTGCTGACCTGATGGCCTCACCATCCAGAAACCTAACTGAAGCTGGAGTACCATGTGAGCTAATGAGGTGAGGAGAGATGTATGTCCTCTGAAATACTGGGAGACTATCTGGCCCGTGTGGTAGCATGGAAATAAAGGAGCCACTGTTTTGGCAGCTTATTTTCTGCTATGCAGGTAACCATTCTAGTAAACTGGTTAACGCTTCCCTGTTGCGTTTGAGCAGAGATCATAGGAAAAGTCTGAGACTGTTCTTTCGAGTCATAGAGATACATTTCATTAATAAAGGCTGTTTGTAGGAGACAACATTATACAACTACTACGTCAATAGAATAATTTATAGGCTGGAAGGGTTCACTGGTGGTTGCTTGTCCAACACCTGCTCAGGGTAGGTCCAACTTCAAAGTCCTMTCAGGATGCTTATGACATTTCTTGTCCAGTCAAGACTTAAATATCTCCAGGGAGGGACACTCCACAATTTTTCTGGTCACTGCATCACTGTTTGACCAGCTTTCTGGCAAAGAATATGATTTACATATATATATAAAAAAATATATATATTTTTGCTTGATCAGAATTTAATCTTTTTGCTSTATAGCTCTGAGAAGGGACTGACTTCATCTTCTCTATAATTCCCATTAGGGAGCTGAAATTAGATTCGCTTCTCTTCTCTAGGCTGGTCAAGTCCAACTCCTGCAGCCTCCGCACGTATGCCCTGTGCTCCAGTCCCTGATCTGTTGGTGCCTCCACTGGACTCCTTCCAGCATGTCAACATCTGTACTTTTACTGGGGGCCAGCGCATTAAATTAATCACACAAGTAATACGAAACCATGTTAGCTTTTACCCACAGGGTTCAAAGTTCTGCTCATGTTTGTGTTAGTTCAGGGAAACAGTYACTGGCATTACTTGAATCAAACTGTATTTAATAAGTTCATAAATACAAGGATATGATTTCATATCAATACGTTTTAACTTTATCGGTAGTTTTATTTGTTTTGTTTTTTAGATCATTTCAAATGCTGCCTTTAGCCCTATCGATTTTTCCAGGCGTGTGGCTCAGTGTAGATCTTTATTGGCCACGCTGTGGCCAAGTGAAGAACAAAGATGGAAACTGTAGTTTGAATTAAACTTAGCTGGCATTTTGAAGTGAGGATAGAAGAGTACAATTGACTATCGCTATTTCCCACTTATTTAATTAACAAATAGTTGCTATTTAATATGGCAAAGCCGAGGAATGTTTGGAAAAGCGTACTAAGTCAGTAATGTCATTTATTTATCAGTGAATTACACTGAGAAATAGCATTTGCTAAGAAAATGTCCTAATTTCAGTTTTTATTTTTTCAGAGAACATAGCATCAACCATGTCAAAAACTGTAATGGAAAATGTAAGGCAAGGCATTCTTAGGGTAARTTAGAGAAGATGTTATACCAATGGCCAAATCCTGCACTGGGATGAGCTAGGAGCTCTCTGAATCTCAGGACCATAAAAAGTGGCACTGCTTTTGATTGCTAACAGGGCTCCATCCTTGTGCTGGCCTCTGCACACACGAGGATTTTCCTGCAGCCAAGYGGTCATTAGCCATATGCTACAGCTGATTTCAATGATTAAAAGGGGAGAGGTCAACACAGAGGATTACAGCCTGAGATCAGTGGCAGGACTGCAAGGGCAATCTGCTTCCTTGCTGTTCTCCTAAGAGAATTGTCCTGCAATAAAGCCTTGACTACCTGGAGGGTTTCTATCCCGCAGAAGGAGAAGCTGGAACTGTTACTCCCATTTGCCTGGAGCTGGGTGGAGGAAGGAGGCTATGAAGTGATCTTACTCCACGTGCTGAAGCCCAGCAATTGCTGGGGGTTGTGTTTTTGGCTTGCTTGAAAGGAGTRTGAGTGCGTTGAGGGAGGTTGATTTTTCTCAGTCAGCACTTAACTGTCATGTAGACTTTTTGTCTATATACCTGTGAGTTGAGTGGCAAGAGTGATCTCCTGAAAAAGACACAGGTATTTTGGTGGTCCAAGGAAATCTATGGGTTGTTCAGGGCCAGAGCTGGCCACACAAGATTGAACTGGGCCACTGAAATGGTAAAACTCTCTCCTGGGCTCCTTAGCAAGGCCTGACAGTGGGTAAGGTATGTGTTATAGATGTATAGCCTTAGGTTTAGGTGGGGAATTAAGGGCCTGGTCAGTGTGACGGTGTTACTCTTGGTGCCCTAGTGCTTTAGTGGTTGCCTGGTCAGGGCAAAGGTGAAGATGCAGAATACGATCTTTTGGAAACTGATTTTTTGACTTTTTAAAATTTTTTTTCTTGCACTTACTCTGAGGCTCCCCCTTTTCCAGACCGCTGTTGAATTTGGTGATCTGCTTAGGAGGCAACCTTATRCTGCATGCTCATGGTGAAATAAATACTTGGGTTAAAGGAAGAACCTGCTCTTGCAAAATTACCTTCACTAAAATAGTGGAGGCCTTGGCCTCTCCTTCTAGGAAGGAGAAACTTGGAAAAACACTGTATAGAGGCTGGAGGTGTGAGACAGACTGGGAAATTAGGACAGGCTCTGTTTTTAAGCATCGTTTTCCAGAATATCTGTACTGGGAAAGGATCTGTTGTACCTTCAAATCTAGCTGTGCTGTGTTCCTAAAACTTCTGTGTCATTTGTTCTTGAGATGTCTTGGCAGAACATTTTGAATCAATTCGTTTAACTGTGACTTGTCTGCAAATAAGTACTCTCTGCTGATAAGGTTCGAGTGACATTTTTAGTGGAGTTTGACAAAAATCTAACCTGCTTTCAAGTCTTCTGCTGAGCTCTTCTATACCTCGTCATGAAGCTGCTGAAAACCCTTTCTCTTATCAAATCAGCACTAAATACCAATAATTCAGGTTAGAGACACCAGAGCCACCTGGCAATGTTTAACTAGTTCTGCTGATGGCAAAGCCACACCTGACCCATGTTCACGCTTTGCCTGGTGGTAGATGTCTGGAAAAGCAGGAAAGTAAAGCCAGAAAACAGAACAAAAACCAGAGCTTCTTACCTAATTTGCCAACAGGGCAGTATTTCATACCTATGCTGCTCCTAGGAGGGGCCCATCCTACTGAGAGATTTCATGTTGCAGAGGGGCACGACAAATCTGTTGTTTAACACCCTGGCTATTTTGTGCTACGTGCATTTTCACTAGAATACTAAGTTGTTTTCTTTGTCAAAAAGTTGTTGTTTGGTTTTGTCCATGGAACAAGTGATTTTTGTGTTAAGCTATTAACCAAATGTCCAGCCAAAATCAATTGTCTAGTAGAGGCAGACCATTACTTGAAAGTCAAAATCTCAATAAATATTACCAACCTCATTGTACCACTGACAGTTTCGGCTGGTTGTTTTATGTTACAGTTGAACAGTTTAGACACCTGCATTTGTATATATTCACAGTGTGCCGTGTGGAGCCCATCTTGTGAGCAGAGTGCTAGTGGAAAGCCTGCAGACTTCAGAAATACTTCCACCATGACCATGGCAAGTGTTTTCGTGCTGCTCTCCCTTGCGCTTTGCTGCTTCCCAGGTAAGTAACTCGCAAGGTGCTGCAGAGGTTTAGCATCTGAGAGAAACCTGACTATCTTAAAACGTGTGTGTGTGTGTGTATATATATGCGCACTATATATATATGTATATTGTCCTCAAAGTTATCGAATCTTATCCTACAAAGAGCTAGTCTAAGTGCGTTGACATTGCACTGAATATACAAGTAGATTTCTGCACATTAAGTGGATTGCGGTTTTAACTTGTCCATCAAAAATATAGTCTCAAGTGGAGTTCTGTGCTTGTAATTAATGTTATCTACAGTTAAGGTAAATGGATACTTGAACCAAGGCCATAATGAGGTGGTCAGACCTCGAGTACCTACTCATGGAAAATATTGTATTGGCACAAGCAAGTTCTGTGCATAAAACTGGCACTTATGTGCAAGACTATTATTGCAAATGGARAAGTAAGAGATGAAAACAAGCCAGAATTTAATGTTTTCTTTGTATATTTAGATCTGATGGAATTGCAAAGTCAAAGACTTTTTYATAATATGCTCAGCTATTTTGAAATGCATATTCCTGACAACAGGTGCTGTATATGTTTGTTTATCCTGTGGGTGACTATTTGCATTTGTCTGTATTTACTTGRCTACCTTTTAGATATGTGATAGCTATTCTTTTGGATCAAAARTAGTGTGTGAAAATAAGGAAGGAAAAGCTATTCTATTCAGTTAATAAGACTGTCTATATCAAAAGAAAAAGGAAGATATCTAAAAACAATTTTCTTCACAATCAGCAATAAGAAACACACTTATATTTATCAGCATAGAAAAGAATTTACCCTTTTTTATTATTTTAGCAAACTATTGAGCAAAACCATAAAGTTTGACACAGCATATAGGAATGTTACCTCCAGGTGCCTAACTTTAACTAAAATCTTATTCACCTTATTGATTGGCTTTTTTTCACTTTTTTTTTTTCCTCCTCTCTTTTCCAGATACTGCTTTTGGGGTTGAGGTGAGTGGAAAATTTTCCTGTCAGATTTTTCAGATTGGGGCACAGGGAATCCCTGCAGAAAGGGTTCACACGTTGCCAGACTGATACACCTGCCCAAGTTTGTCCTACAGTAGGGACTACAGAGTGAAAAATCCACTGCAAGAAGTTGTATCTCCTCTTTCTCTCATGCAAAATTAGAGATGTAAAGRTCAACTGTTTTTACAGCCATGCTGTCGTGCATTCCTTTGACAGGTGGACTGCAGTAAATATCCCAACACTACAAATGACGAAGGCAAAGAGGTGCCGCTCTGCCCTAAGACCCCGAGCCCTATCTGCGCTAGTAATGCAGTCACTTACAGCAGCGAATGCCTGCTGTGTGCCTACAACGTGTGAGTACTGGACAGGGGAGCTCTCCTTGTGAGCAGGCAAACTCTGCTTCCCTTTACATTAAATATTCTCAGCACTTAGAATGCAGCAAGGAYGCTTTGCTGAGCTTCCTAATGTTTGTCTTTCCTTCTTCAGTGAATATGGAACCAGTATCAGCAAAGACCATGATGGAGAATGCAAGGTAAGTGACGTGCAAGTGAAATGAAGAACGCGGCAAGGGTCAGATCCGACTTTTGAGTGGTCAAAGCTGCTAATTTGCTTCTCCCAGAGACATCTCAAACACTGAAAAAAGAGCACATATGAGATGCTGGAATCTTGTATTAGTCATCTTATGGTGAAATTTTATCATAATGACACAAAAGGCTTTTTTTTTTCCCCCTCTACAGTGGTAGACCCTCAAAAGGCCAAAGGCACATACCCACCAAATATGCTTACTTGTTCTAAATAAGCCTTTACTAATATTTTGCTGGTGTTTTTTCCACAGGTGGACTGCAGTAAATTTCCCAACTCTACAAATAAGGATGGCAAAGAGGTGCCGCTCTGCACCAAAGACTACAGCCCCGTGTGCGGTACCGACGGAGTCACTTATGACAACGAATGTGTGCTGTGTGTTCACAACATGTAAGTCCTGTGTGTGCAGAGCCCTGCTGAACAGGCAACAAGCACTTGGGACTGTGTGCAGCTGCACTTTTAAACAGCAGAATATCTACCAAGGCCTGTTCTCCAGGTCTTGTGGACTCTGACCTTCCTCTTTCCCAGAGAGGTGTTCCCTGTTTTCCCTTGTGCTTAGGAAAACTTGTGCCTYAGGTCTCAAAAGTGAAGGGGAGGGTTGAGTGGGGATTTGATGCAGAAAAGCATGCTGCTCTTAACTAAATTAAGAGGGTCTGTGTGCCAGATGTTGCATCGTGGGGAACAGCCACTATCTTAAGGAGTGCTGTCAAATGACCTAGCTCTGATTTTCTCCAAATTCCTTGTCCCCGCTCTTGTCCTTCACAGCATGCCTTATAAAATAGCCTTCTGGCAGGCTGTGGCACTGCATATTATATCATACTGTATCTGCTTCCCTGAACAAAAATGCCACAAAAAGGCCACATTTGCCTATAAATGACCTCAAGGCCATTAGGTACCATGCAGCAGGTCCAGGGAAGGGGACAAAGACCCTCTCAAGTGGAGGATCTGAGCTGTATGGACGTGAACCATAGCAGTCCAGCTTGCTGGGGAGTTGGGACTTGCTCCCACAGCTGGTATCTAGAGCAGACACAGGCTAAGTGGGGTGTATCCTATATCCTATACATCACACCAGAGGCCGATTAGCATCACTGGGATGGAGTTTACCAGAGCAGCTTGCTCACASAGTTCCCTAATGTTTACCTCTCCTTTTCCAGAGAAAAGGGTACCAGCATTGGCAAGAAGTTYGATGGTGATTGCAAGAAGCAATCTGTTACAGTAAGTGTGAATTATGTAATGAGGGACCAGGTGTTAGCCCTGCTGATGTCAGTGGAAAGAGTGCCAGGGTCTGTAGCAGGCTAAGGAAGCAGAGCTTCAGTAGAGGGAGTGTTTTTGCTTTCTCCATCCATAATACTCATTATTCTTATCAGAAAAAAAGAAGAGAGTTACTGCAGAGGAAGAGGTGTGGAGAGAAAAATTGTTAAGCAAAGGAAGTCATCAGGGCAGAACTGAGAATGTGACTGCAGAGGTTAGACTGATGGTCCATCAAACATATGGTGACTTGATGAAGAATTTAACTTCAGCTGTGGTTGAAAAGACTGTATAGGAGAGAGTAAGAACAGAGAGAATATGTATGGCTCTTAATGAACAGTCTTTCAACCTCCAACTCTTTTTAGTTGATGGACATCTTAAACTAGATTTGCTTGCTATTTATTCAATGAGCCATGATGTATTTCTCTTCCATGAATGTTCAGCCTCTTCATGGATTACGTAGACCTTTCACATTATGACATCCTTGAGTAAGCCTATCCATTGCACAAAACCAAAATCCCACTCACAGTATCCAGGTTAGATGATGATCATCCCGCTGTAAGACTACAGCAGAGACATTGGTCTTTTATATGTATTTATATATATATAGGCATGTCCACCTCTCTAGACACTAGGATATTTCCAATTAATTTCCTGGACAGTTTGGGAACATGGTACAATCTGATCATGAACATGACTCGTTCACTGCTGCTGCTTAGAAATGGTGCAGTCAGGTTATGATATAAATCTCAAACAGGAAATTATGCTCTATTTTTCTCCTATGCTAGAAAAATTTAATAATACAAACTGACACCTCGGTTTATGTCAGATTGTGCAAGAAAGTTAATTTATTTATTTAGGAAGCATATAGTTATCCTTGAAGTTTTAGGCAGGGATTCAAACCCGTTTGCTATCTATGCCTTCATCTCTTTCATACTAGATGCCCTTTTTTTTGCAGGTTGACTGCAGTGGCTACCCTAAACCTGCCTGCACACTTGAGTATTTTCCTCTGTGTGGCTCTGACAACCAAACATACCCCAACAAGTGTACATTCTGCAACGCTGTTGTGTATGTACCAACACGAATCACATTTGTGTTATTAACTACCCTTCCTACGGTCACAAGTCTGTACAGTTACTGTTTCCTTGCTTACTGACCAAGGTCASTGAGGGATTTGGAGTAGAGGAGAATACCAGGCACTCTGCCAACCACTCATTTTTTCATCTTGGCAACACAGTGCTATGCCTGGTTTGTTAACATCAATGGTTTGAAGACCATTAGCCTTAATGGAGTTTTCTCACATAGTGCAAAGAAAATTAAATTTGAAGTTTCATTATAGTTTTCCAAAATATTTTAGACTTAAGAATGAGTTAAATCATTGCACTCATCTCTTAAAAATGAAGTGAAATAGCTAATGGGATGCTCTGAGATTTGCCAGCTCTGGGGCAGGATCCTATCTAATGTCTCCTTTAGGAGCCAAGGGAAAGRATAGAGCAGAGCAGGCGGCAGTCTGTGTTTAATCCATTTTTCTCTTCCCTTCATTTTCAGGGAGAAAAATGTGACTCTAAACCATTTGGGAGAATGCTAAATACCAGTGCTAAGAGAATTTGCTCCAAGGTTCCCTCTGTTGAGGCGCAACTGCAGATCTCGCCTCAGTTCATCTTGTTTTCTGGGGGGCTCGACTTATTCTTGTTTTATTTTCTTTCTCAATAAACTTAAATCAGCAATATTTTTGTCTTGTTTAGTATTCTGTCTAATGCAGTGTTTTATTCTGATTTGTTGAACGATGATGCCTGACTAGCTCCAGGATATAACAAGAACAACAACTTGCTCCCCTCCCTGTCATAAAATACAAAAATTGCCAATGTAGCCAAGTACCACTTAAACATCTGTTTTTAATCAGGAGCTAAAAGACTATTCTGAACTGATGGCACTAGATGAGGTACAGCTAAGGTGTTTCTGGTATACTTTGCCTGTGCAGGCATCATCAGCAAAGCAGTTGGGATTGTGCTGTTGTCTGAACCAAGCATGATCCATGGCCTCCTGACCACAATTCTTTACAAGATAGAGTATTCTGCAAGGTCAGTTTGTCAACAAAGCCTGTACTTTTCAGATGTGGGAGTTTACCCTCTTTACTGGGTCTTCCAAGTGACTTGGTTGGGAGCTTTTCTCATATTGGAATTGTCCTCTGACAACCCTCAAGTATTCTCCTATAGGGCCCTCCTAGGAATGGTTCCTGCTTACTTATCTTTCCTTTTAATCCTAATAGGAGTACCACTTGCCAGCCAAAGAAGTGTTTGAGTAGCGTTTCATAATCCAAAGGCAAAATATCTTTCTATTTTTGAGAGCATGACCATTTTCATTAGCTCCTTATCCATTAAATTGGTTTTGCTTTTGTCCTTTGCTGGCCTATTGAAATGGTGAGATTTTGATCTACATGAAAGAAATACACTCTTTAGAAGGGTTAGGTCCAATTTATATAATGTTTTACATATGATCTTTGGGAGACAGAAAGAGAGTTTGTTTGTCTTTGTTTCTCTTGATGGAATGAAGAGTTTGTTTATTTGTTTTTTAACACTTTAGAGCAGCTTATGGTGAGATTGTACACAGATGAAGCAGTAATTTCCTAATTGAGTTYAGCTCTTCTGGGTTCCAGGCTAGAGTCTCAAGTCAGTGTGAGATCACCAGACTATCAGGCTGTTAATGCACATCTAATCCATAATGTTAGTGCTGTTTAGGTGAAAATTAACAGTTTGTAAATTATCTGCAAATGCTCATAAAAGTAATTCCATCCCTAGCCCGATCCAAGGACTCTCTTCCGTATCTGAGACACCCTATTGTTTGCTCTTACAATCTACTGTTTTTCTGATTTCACTAGAATTTAATTATACCATATTAGGATGAAACATCTAAAAGTAAAGGTGTTCTAAGCTGGAAGCCATTCATTTCTACAGATCTACAAAATTTTGCCCATGACAAAGCATTGCGTATAAATAAGCATTGGTGCACATATATAGAGAAAATTTGGCAGTATGTATTGTTYGGGTTTGTATAGCTGGCCTTTTACCCCCAGGATATTTTTTCTGGTCCTTCAGAAGCTTTCTGCTGTATATTTCATTGGGAAAAATGACCAATACTATGTGTATAATGTCTGTTATCTTCTTGGGATACTTGTTGACGAAGAAACATTCTTCGCAGTTTACCCCCAATCAGTACYGTCAAGATCACCACCCTGGGCAGCAGATCTGGGCTGTTAATCAGAATAAGGGTGAGTAAACCAAACACAAATACGTGCATGCAGCAGGCATRCAGACATATATATGCACGATTATTGTCTGGGGGAGGAAGCAGGACCACGGCTGTTGAGCTGAGCCCAGGCCCTGCTGCGTGCAGACCATCCAACCACCGTGAAGCCAGCAGGTGTGATGATGCTCTTGGCTCTACCCCTCTGCCGCATCCCGGGTGAGTGACTTTGCTGCTTCGTGCCTATTGCTCTGTGTTTGAGTAAGTTCTGGCTGCCTTTAAAACAACAAAAACATCCTCAGACTGGAAGGAGTTTCATTCTACAAGGACTTATTTACTCCTAGAAAGATGGTGTTGAAAAGACTTGACATCAGAGACTATCACTTATGGGGTAATATTTTAGCAACAGAACTGAGTGGGTAAGAACAACTGTGGGAACAGCTCTATACTCAACACTAGTTTATGCATAATGAAAGAAGTGACATGTACGTGGTACAACCAGACACCCAGTATTTAAACTCTGAAATGTTGCAGAAACGTAAATTAGTTTACTGAAAGGAACTGAAGTTTTCCTGTAGCCATCACAACCTGAGATATGACTTGAAACTTCAAAAAGTTGTAGAAGCTTAATAGGCATTACTTCTTACAAAATACCTTAATTATTTAAGCACTACTATAGGCATGCATAAAAGAAGCTCTTCCAAGATATTTAATGGCTATATGGCCCTGTTTTTCTCATTAACCTGTTTATCATTGAGTACACATCTTGCTTCATCCTCTGAGACACAGGAAATGTATTTATCTTCCTTTCATTTTATTGAGTCTTTTTTATCTTGACTGTAACCCTCATGATGTAAACTGAAGATGTAGCATACGGTATGGTATAAAATTTTGTATGGCATTATTTTTATCTAAGGTGGTATTTGTTAGCAGTGAATTAGAGGCTGARTATTTGGAACATATATTTGCAGATTTTAACTATATCGGTATCCATGAACTGCATTTGTKTCAGTTTCTACTGTTTTATTGTTTCTTTGTTTGTCAGCTGTTGAGAGATCCGTTGTGACCGTGATGTTGCATGTGTCTTGCAGGATTACTGCACAGGTTATATCTTCTCCAGCTGGATCTGCTCTGTGGCATCCTTCCCACATTGTGGGTCTGATGGCAGGACTTACGGCAATAAATGTCTCTTCTGTCATGAATTTTGGTATGTAGGAAAATAAATCTTTTCACAAACCAATTAACTAACTTAGCTTTAACTAATTCATTTATCTTTTCTTCCCTGTGAGAGGTGAAGTTATTTTGTGCTTACCTATTTATTTATCTATCAGTAAAGGCTTGTGATTTCTATGAGGGATTTCATGAGGAATTCCTTTCTTAGAGGTAGAAGGAGATAACAGTGGCAGAATTAAGCAATTTGCTGACGAATGCCAAGTCTATTTCTCCCAGCATAGTAAGTCTGTTTCTTCAATAGTCTACAGACTATTTATTCTTCTTTTAATTTAAGTCTTTATCTTGTCTTTGAATGTCAGCATTAAAAGCAAGTAACTGTAATAGCTTTCCGAAGTTTTCTGTTTGGGGTTTGTTCTCCTTCATTGGATGGAGAGAAAAACATCAGAAGTCCAAATATTCTATCTCTGAGATACATTATTTCCTCCTCCCCAGGAGAAAATATCCTTCTCTTACCTTGCTGCATTTTCGAAAGTGTTAACTCTTCAAAAGGCTTCCGCTGAGAAAGTGGTACCTCATCTCACAAAGTTTCCTGTGGCAGATGCTGCTGCCCGAATATCTCACCCTGAACCTTGAATGCTCCTGATGAATCCTGAAATGGCTACTAAATAAAAATACACAACATTTTCAACCCACATTAATAGTAAGCTTCTTGCTGTTCTTTTTTCTCCTTAGCTATTGTATGATTATGTCACAGCAATAATCCTGGAGTGCAGGTATTAATAGGGAATTAAGGGAGAGGAAATATGTTGTTCTGATTTCTGAGAAATCAAATTCTGAGAAAACAGTTCCATCTACGAAGGTCAAAGCTGTCCTCTCTTCTTGAGGACAGCTTACTTCACCCAGGTTTCTGAAGTAAAATCGGTAGTAGAAATAAGTAGAATTTGTTTCATGAAGAGTATCCTGGACATAAACCCACTTACCCAAGGAGGAATTGTCTGTTTCAGTAACTGCTGTGGTTAGATACCTGCTGCCTCACCCCTTTATTACTATTTGCACATTAGGCATATTCTGGCAGCCTGCAGAGGCCCCAAGCAAACCTGAACATAGACATAATTAGAGACAAAACGAGGCCAAAGATTTTTACAGCTGGGAATGTTTTGGAGCTGCTCTACAGATTGACGCTCAGGCACAACTGGCTCTTAGGTCGGCAAGCTGCTAACTCCCATTCCTGTTTCCTGTCTTAGACACACTTCCTCATGCAGCCTGGAGAAGGGTATCAGTCCAGACCGTAGCTGAATCTATTGCCCTTAAAAGCTGGGTAGGGAGCATGCCTTTCAGTGGAGAGAAGCCCCTTTGCAGTCTGCTCTAACTCTCAAAGCAAAAGGATGGCAATTTTCCTCTGCGCAGCAGCTCCCCACGTGCATGTTTACCACGAGCCTCAACGCAGGATGCTGCAGAAACGCGGCGAGTAGAGTTAGACCTAATAGAGGAGATGTCTGGAGGAGAGCTAGCTGTAATTTCCCCAGCCCTTTCCTGCACCTTGCTCACCACTTTGCTGCTGCTTGTAGGTAATTGCGCTGACTGGCACTTGTAGAGGATCCTCTGAGATCCTTTGGCCTCTGGAAATCTTGTCTGATGAAAGGAAGGGCTCAGAGTCGTAGTGTTAATTTATTATTCATTAACAGCTAGTGAAGTGCTGGCAGTGCGGCACATGGGGCATGCAGCGGTCTCACAGTCAAATAGTTAATGATTTTAAGTGACAATATGTCACTTTCCAGAGAGTAGCTCTTTAAAGAGAGACAATTTATTTCCAAAAGACAKGGCTGTGTGTAACCATTTAGTGGCAAGTCCCTTCCCAGAGCTGTAACATCCCCTCTGTGAGAGGCAGGGCTGTGTGTTGGAGGCTGTTGAGGCAGCATGTGAGATTTCTTAGGCAAGACCAGGTGAGGCTCTGGGATGTGGTGCTGGGGTGCAGGTCACGGGCTCCACATTCGTCCTTGTCCGCATCCACTGCATGAGCCGGGTGAGAGACACCGGCTCCATCACATATTTCCCTTCTTAGGGAGAGAAATCCTTCTTAGGRGGGATGTCCCCAGCAGAATCACCCTGATCCCTCTGCTCCAGGTGGCCAACAACTCGGCTTGGAGAGGGAGGCCATGTTCCTTCAGGAACACCTTGTTGGAAATTTTTTGTTGCTGCTGCTCAGCAAAATCCTGCYGGAGCACATAATCTTCTCACTAATGTGACTCTTCCTCCAGGAAAAGCAAGGCAGGAAGCACTGCCTGCCTGCCCGCCCAAGTGTTT